ATCCAATGGCAGGCGTTACGATAGATATCATTAGCCCTTTAGTTGACCTCGGGCTTTACAGAAAGGAAGAGGAACTTCAAAGTGGCAAAAATCGAGAGGGGGGACAGAATAATGATTCACAGGCGTAAAAGAGACAGACAGACACAAAGGTAGAAAAAGGCGAGGTGAGTACTGTGAAATTAGTCGAATATGAAATGCAATGGGGTGATGGTAGTTTGAAGTGAGAAGTCAACTGCCAGTTAATAGACTTTTTTGCCGTATGAGTATAGGTTGCCCAGGGTGCACCACGTGGAGGTAAGTCTGTCGCACACCCCCCCCCCCATTATTAATATGAATTTCAATTTCATACTTTTATTTCCATATTTCCCCTCCTCCTCCTTTAGAATGACGTGGACAAGTTATCTCCAGAAGCACCAGAAACTGATCTTCAACCGAAGAATTTCTACCTCATTGCTCTATGGCGACATGTAGATACGACATTAATTGACACCAATTTCACTGAGCACCAACGCCTCGGCCAAAGCCACATTCGAGTTGTTTACGCCCACGCGCCAAGGGCTCATCATCAATCTGTAAGTTGCCTAAACCAAAGGTGCCCAAGTCTCTCTAGTGCATCGCGTTAGCACGTCTTCTTTTGGCTTTCTTTTTAGCCCTCGGGTAACAATTTAGCTCAAATGTTGGCCTCCATTCCTTCATTACTTCCCCTATCTTCAATTCTTCGACTGCGGCTTCATCATCCACCCCAAATTGTGCATAAATTTTCCCATGATTTTGAATACGAACTGATTCCTGGCTTGAGTTCTTGCAGTAAAACGTAATACCATCTAACCTAAATTGTAGGAGCAGTTTTCAAGCAATTATTCACTCATTTTTTGTTTGTCATTTTAGATCCTCAATGGCTATAATCCCAGTTACCGTTGAAATTTACAATGCTAGCTCCTGTCCAGTTACTGCGCGGTTATTAACTAACGAAGACACCGGAAAGTACGTCTAGTTGTAACTTAGTGGCACCGAGAAAAGATATTATCAAAGAGTAGTAAGTAGGTGCGGATTAGCATATAAAATTGAGTCTGAATTTTAGTCTAGAGCACTACTCATTTCTTTGATGACTCATATGTTTATATGTATTATTCATCTGCTTAAATAATTAAAGTGGAAAAGTTAAAATGTCGAATGCTTATTTTTTTCCCTTATTAGAAATCAACTCGCATCTCAACCTGTAGAATATCATAAAAGCGCTACATCTCTACCACCACGTGTACTGTGGGCAGGTGCCTCAGTTAGACAGATCCCCTTAGAGCCAGGACAAACTCACAAATTGGTTATGAACGCCCGTGTTGCTTGCCCAGGTGTCTATGAAGTGAACTCCCTTTGCCTCAAGGCCTCTACTCAAACAAATGGATCTGATCTACCCTCGCGTCCACATAGCAACGATAGTGGTATTGGAAATGGAGAATCAAGCGAACATGGAGCTATTACTAAGAGCGGAACTTCATCGACTTCGGTTCCATTTGTCCGACAGTTGTGTGATTTTTCTTCCTTAGTTGTTGTCATGGATGCAACTTAAATGTGATCACATCGTGTTGTCTATTTGTGATGTGCTGGTCTATCATTTCACTTTGTTCTTATTTACCTGAAATTCCCTTTACTTCTTTAAATAACCATATGCTTTTCATTGTGGATTGATGGTGCTTATTCGTCTAATTTGCGGAAGTTGTAATGGTAATTATATATATATATATATATATAGGTAAAACGTTGGGTTTGTAAGTGCATAGTTCAAACAGTTAAGCTTAGGCAGGTTCATATGTAAGATAATTGAATTCTTTCAATATTGTGCAGAGATTTTGGAAAGTTGATTTAGCAGAATCATGCCCCTTCAGGGAAAATTTGGAGCAATCCTTTCTACTACCTGAGAAGGTTAGGGCATCAGGGATTGATGATTATGCTTAGTTCAAGTATTATGGTGCTAATCATTCACAAGGGCATAAGCAAGAGAAATATAAGACTCTTGATTCCAGAATTCCATAAATTGGCTTGCCTTCTATGCTTCTGAAAGCTAAAGTTTGGCTTCTAAAAGATAGAGTTAAATCCAGATCGATATTTGAGCAAGGTGTCTTTTCCTACGGGGATTTACAAATAGTGGATAAAATCGCATTCGCTAAGATCTTAGAAAGACCGTCGAACGTCAACGATGAAAGGTATTTGTCGCTATAAGATAAGAGATTTAAAGTTGGTTTGAACAAAATTGGTTCTATCAGTGAAAAAGCAAATAAATTTAGCGCAAGAGTTTCTTTGCAAATTCTGGCATCGGGCATATGATTTTCATTGTTGAGGATAAACGCGTAAAGTTATAAATGTATGCAAAAACGTGTCAAGACTCGTTCGGCAAAGTTCGGGTCCAGGACGGAACCAATTCACTGTTTCAGTAAGCTATATCGTGAGTTTCGATAGGAAAAGACTTTCCGCATCAATCCGAAGGATAAAAGCGTAAACTCTGTGACCAGATTTGTTGCCAACTTCGTAGAGTTGGGGTAATGGTAAATACGTCGATCGAATTGAATCACAAAAATAGGACCAATAATCTAAAATCATGAAATTGTCAATTGTGATAGTGACAGGTTTGATTAGTGGTTCATCAAACCAACTCATATACTGAAATAAGTAAAATTCACAATTATGCAGAAGTTGATAACACTTGATGAGTTAAAATATGGCAACGTGATCGGATGGCTGCTTTAAATTTAAATATATTGCCTAAAATTAGATAACAACAATGTTTTTGCTGCATTTTTACGTAATCTTTAGTTTCTTGTTGCAATGCAATGCCACCTTAAATATTTACCTACAATCCCGAAAAGTAATAAATTTATCAAAGATAATTTTGAACACAACCAACAACAATATGACTTATTTAATTTTTTAAATTAGCAGATAGAGTTTAACTTCTTAAATGTACCATATTAAAGTTTTATTGTATCAAAAGCTAAATTTCGTCTACCTTGATCTGTGCCAGGAATTATAGGTTATGGAGGAGTGGTTTAACGTTCTAGGCTTCGTGCTATAACTATTTGCAATGGATAGGATAGTGCTATTGATTGACATGGATTGTTTTTATGTCCAAGTTGAGCAAAAATTGCGTCCAGAGACCATAGGTCTTCCTTGCGCCGTGGTTCAGTACACCAGCCTTACAGCCGCTGCGTAATTATGAAATTTATATTTATACGTTTCTTTCAGAATAATTGCTGTAAGCTACGAAGCTCGTGCTAAGGGTGTTAGCAGAAATTCTAATGGGGATATGGCTAAGAAAATATGCCCAGATATAGTTCTTTTGCAAGTGCCTACTAAAAGGGGTAAAGCTGATTTGACCAAGTAAGATTTCTTACGCTTATTATTTCTGTATAGGTATCGGGAAGCAAGTGCTGAGGTTATTAAATCTATTTCGAAATTTACTTCCAAAATTGAGCGAGCTAGTATTGATGAGGCTTACATCGACGCCACTGGTAGATTTTTTAATTCTTAGTTTATTAACACAAATAGATTTACTCGATGGTGTTGCATATGATAGTGAGATATGCCTAGAGAAATCAAATCTAGTTATTGATCCAGATTCAATTCACATTGAATCTAAATTGTCTTCATCCTCCCCTCCCTTCAGTCTCCCTCTTAGTGAAATCGAGGGCGAAACCAAAGTGTTTGACAACTTATGTGATGGAACTAAACTGAAAAAGGCTCTCTTGTTGGCTCAAAGAATTAAGGAACAAATTCGTCGTGATACAGGTTTCCAATGTTCTATTGGAGTTGCTGCTAACAGGGTAACGAGAAAAATCAAATCGATTTCTTACTATTTCGCTCTTTAGATGCTTGCTAAACTGTCCTGTTCCCTGAATAAACCAGATAAAATTACAATTGTCCCGCTAGAATCAACCCAGCATTTAATGAACTTCACAAAAGTTAAAAAAGTGTAAGGTTGATCTATCTAAATTTTGACATCTTTTAGACCAGGTCTCGGTGGAAAACTTGGAAATGACTTGATTCGACGATATGGTCTTGAATATATGGGCGGATTAGTAAATAAACCACTTTCAAGGTTAATTGAAGACTACGGGGACAAGACAGGGTATGATTCCTTCCCGTTCCATTTTTAAACCTCTTAAAATCTTAGCAACTGGCTGTATGAGTTATGCAGAGGTCGCGATTACCAATCCGTGAGTGTTCGAACTCTAGTTAAATCAATCGGTTGCAGTAAGCACTTTATTGGCAAAGCTGCACTCAAAGCAGATGAGGAGATTCGTCATTGGTTAACCTCCCTCTCGGGCGAGTTGGTTGAAAGAATCGCCGTAGATCGAGCCAATCATAATCGGATACCCAGTAGTCTTTCTGTTGGTGTTCGTGCAGAGCAGATGAATTTCAAGTCAACATCTCTCCAACCTTCTGTTCTAACTTCGATCTTACCCAGAACAGAGGAATCTGAGGAGACGTGTACAGCTGAATTAACTGTAGCTAAAAAGATAGCTGATATCGCATTTGGCGTAGTGAGGAACATTGCAGGATCTAATCCTATAAATAATATCACTCTGGCAGCTGGAAAATTTAAGCCGGATCATGGTTTTTTGTGTGGAAATGTAAAGAAACTACTTTCTGAACAACAGTCAAAGCAGAGCAATGGAGAACAAGAACAAACGGAAGCAGAAGCAGAGATACTTGTAAAAAATCAAGGAGTTAAAAGAGAATCTTTCTTCCGCAAATTTATAGAAAAAGAAGAACCACCGAAAAGAGAAAGCTTCTTTCATCGATATATTGAACCGATGGAAGAAGGCGTACCCTCAACTAGTAAATCCCCGAACTATTTCGTTCAACACGACTCAACAATGGATACTATATTGTGTGAAGAATGTGGATTACAAGTACCCGTTCATGTAATGCCAGAACACTCGGATTTCCACTTTGCTAGAAAACTTCAGGCAGAATGGACTAAAGAAAATAGCCAGCCAGCACCTCAGAATCGACCATCATCGATGAATGGTAAATCGATTCGAGGTTCAAAGAAGAAAGGAAGGGGAGTAAAATCGAAGTCAGACGTCAGGAACGCAAAAATTGATGCATTTTTTGTAAAGAAGAATTGATTTTATCGTAATATATATATATACTGGCTGTGATATTGATTATACAAGCTGTTATATAGAAGTGTTGATATCAAAAGGAGAAGATAAGATTACTGCAAGGTAGATTTTAAGGGGGACCGTAAGAGGGGAAATAAGCTTGCGAATGAGGTAGCTCTCAGCTCCACTGACTAGAAGTCTCTCTGGATTAGTTCGTGATGTCACTGCATTTGGCAGCTTCTTCGTCTTAGCGGCGGACCATGTTACGCCACTAAAAAGCTTTAATAAACTTATGATGAATTACTTGTGATATATTGAAGAAATCACTTTGGGCAAACGGCGTATAATATGCTCCAAAGGGCGATACTTGTAGCAAAAGATCCAGGCCCCAGAAAGAATACCAAATCCTAGAAGTTCATGGGATAATACAGCCATAAAGCAGCGAGACTTTGACCATTTTTTCACATTTATTTTGTAAACAGAGAATATTTTATTAGCGAATTCTGACATTGAGGGCACTCACTTGGTGCATTTGAATGAAGCACGATTTACATGTTACACACCTTGAAGCCTTAAATTTGATAACTGCCGTACTCAAAATAGATTGCATAAAATAGGAATTTATTAATTTTTCAAGACTTTTTGTTTAACAATAATAACTTATAATGTAAAGCTATTGCTAATTGAGGGATAATTATCAAGTCAAGATAATTTAAAACAAAATGGACATATACGAAAAGAATCATGATATACCGTCATTAATGGCTTACACTTAATAATTAAATAGTGGTTAACTTGGAATACCCAAGAATATTTGTAAATTCTTCCAGAAATCTTATTCATAGTATTTGTTTTTGTCGGTCTATATAAGCTCGACACATAGTTCAAATTTCTTTATAGGTGTACCCTTTTTGGGCTATGAAAATGACTGGTGACTGTAAATCAGAAGTTAAGGAGCTAGATGCTTGGATTGAACAGCTTTATAATTGTCAGCAATTATCTGAGGCTCATGTTAAGTCGCTATGTGACAAAGTAACTGCTGTGCTTTGTAGCTTACCATTTAGGCTAAAGAAATTTTGACAAAAGAATCAAATGTACAAACTGTTCGCAGTCCGGTTACAGTCTGTGGTGATGTCCACGGCCAATTCCACGATATGATGGAACTGTTCCGGATTGGGGGTAAAGCTCCAGATACAAACTACCTTTTTATGGGCGATTATGTCGATCGAGGATACTGTTCAGTTGAGACCGTGACTCTCTTGGTCGCCTTGAAGGTTTACAAATTTTTTATTATAGACGGTTTAGGTACGATTTCGTGACCGTATTACCGTTCTTCGGGGAAATCATGAAAGTAGACAGATTACACAAGTATATGGATTTTATGACGAATGTCTCCGTAAATATGGAAATTCGAATGTTTGGAAATACTTCACTGATCTCTTTGATTATCTTCCTCTTACTGCATTGGTTGACAACTCAGTAGGTTATCTCTATGTTTGCTTACATTCGATAATAGATCTTTTGTTTACATGGTGGTCTATCGCCTTCAATTGATACTCTGGATCATATTCGAGCCCTCGATCGTATTCAAGAAGTTCCCCACGAGGTATTATATCAATTGCCTATCATTTATATTTTGGGACCTGATTATTCTTTATCTCTTTCAAGTTATTAGTTGATTACTGATCTCTTCATACCTCGATATAGGAAATATTAGGTTACCTTATGCGGTTCTGAATACACAGTATTCCTTTGGGTGGATTATTCTTAGGTGTCTGATGATCGTATTGCCCGATAAAATTTCTTATAATATGTAATGGTGTCTACTTTGGGTGAGTGCCTGCAATTATTATTTGCTTTTAGATTTGCTCGATTTTTTTCATTTTGAGTAATGGCAGTATAACTAACACTTCTGTTTTCCATAACTTTGACTTCTAATTTTCTATAATTTTCTTTCCCCTCAGTTATGCTACATTTGTCTGTTTGAATATTTGCCTTTCTCGGTTGGTGTCGTTTTTTGTCAGCATATTTATACCTTTGTGACATACTCACCCCGTCTGCTCTGTTATATGTTAACAGGTGTTTGCAGATATTGCTGATGTAGGTTCTTATAAAATCAATCAAAGGTGCGCTTTTCCTCACAAGATATTCTCCATATTCATTGCTGTTCTAAGGTTTTCCTTTTACTAAATAAACATTCAGTTTGATTGTAGATTATCAATAAATGACTAGGGGAGTTTTTTATTCGAAAATTATAATGACTTGTCTTATTTAAAGCACTAATTATTAAATCCTTGACGCAGTCATATTGCTATCTATTTAGCAGGTGGCCTATGTTGCGAATATTTTCTTCAATTATGATAGATCTTATAATCGGTGTCTATTAACTTAAATTTCTATAATCGCAGACTAATCGTCTTGACTAAAAGCTAAGTCCTTGTCTTGTCAAATATTTTAATTTTATCGTCATAGCTTCTGTAATCCCTTTTCCTTAATTGTCTCCACACTCACGTGAATTACCCGTCTGGGATTTTTTTCGGTATCTACTATTAATTTTTATCTTCACAATTTTGGAAGCCACCACTGTCTTCCTTTGGTTAATATTTTTCTGATCTTTTGTTTGTTAAAATCCTGAATGATTTATGCCTGTAATAATACCCAAATCAGTAGTAATTTAAGGGTGAAATAAAGCTACTTCTCTATTTTTCTGTATCAAATTACAACTGTTCTTAATCAAGCAAAACTTCATTTGAATTGATATGAGTTCGAGCCATATTACGTTATTCTCTTTTATTTGCTGTTGAAAGCATTTAAACTACTTCATGCTCCTTCTAAGTTGGCTATTCTGCTATAAACAGACTGGAGGGGTAATTGATTTAATCGCTTGAGAGGCATCTGGTCACTGACCTCATTAGAACTGCAATTTTACTTTCGTTTATTATAATGTTAAGTTGCAGGATTCACATCTTTACCCAAATTTTACCTTTATTGAACAGGTGCACTACTCTTTAATACGCTTTCTAGGGTCCAATGTGCGACTTGTTGTGGTCAGATCCCGATGACAGAGGCGGCTGGGGTATCAGCCCAAGAGGTGCCGGTTACACATTCGGGCAGGACATTTCTGAGCAGTTCAATCACAGTAATGATCTCTCCTTAATCAGTCGAGCCCATCAACTTGTTATGGAAGGCTTTAATTGGTGCCATGAACGCAATGTCGTCACCATCTTCTCTGCACCCAATTACTGCTATCGCTGCGGTAACCAAGCCGCTATCATGGAACTTGATGACAATCTCAAGTACACTTTGTAAGTTCGTTGGCTCATTATAGTAGTCATTTTTTCTTAACCTTCCCATTGGTTATTGTCCAGTTAATTCATCTGGGTAGTTGTTATTACTACTTCGAATGCTTTTCCTCCCATGGACCGAGCAAGGGGGATGATCTTTCTTGAACTCGAAAGTAAACCTCGTCAGAGTTCATTTGAGTTGAGTTTTATTTGTAAACCCAGTGATTCATGTACTACTACTAATACCTGATTTGGTCTTTGCTTTCCACACTTGACTCAATGAATCCTTTTACATGTGAATAAACGTGTGTTGGTTAAAAATATTTCGCCTTCAAATTTTAATAAGTTGGGGAGTTAGATGTTTAGACAGTTGCTAAATATGTGCAATAGCGAATGAGCGTTTGAACTTGGTATTGGTATCAAAAATGCGATTGGTAGTCTCGCATGTCTGTTTATTGGATGTTGGCTGTTTAATGACTTGCTTTGATGAACTCAACTAGCTCTTGCTTTTAGCTTTTATCAAACCATCGCATTTCGGTATTAGCCTCGTCAGCTTGCATGTTGAATCGTCGGCCCATTTATATACTATTTGACATTAGGATATTGGAAGTCGGATTTCGTCGCCTTGTTTCCTTTAAGCTCCATTCGCCGTATAGTTGTTTAGATCAATTAAGTATTATTGGTTAAATCAGATGTGGTTTATTTCAAGAATATAAATTACCTATTCCACATTGTGCTTAAATTTAATGACGTAAATACTTAGGTTTAATGGTTTCGAATTTGTCTCTAGTACTCTAATTTATCTGCTTGCTTTTTCTAACATGTGCACATAGGTGCTAATTAGGTATCGGTTGAATAATGATTTCCCAAGTATTAGGTTGGCAACTAAGTCATTGTCGATTTCAAATAAGAAGGCAAATTCGGAATTTTTGTTTAAAAATATAACTTTATTCAATTAGATATTGGCCGTTCTTGTCGATGACCTTTTTCCATCGTTCTGGCAGAGTAAAAATTCCCCGTTCGTAAAATGTCTGGTCTTTGCTATTAAAAAACTGAATTAGGTGTGATCCGACATCATCCGCGTTGTTAAAAATTTTACCATTTAAAGAGTTTTGCATGGAACGAAACAAATGGTAATCCGAAGGCGCAAGGTCAGGGCTATATGGTGGGTGTGAGTGACAAAACATCCCAACCCAATTCCAACAATTTTTGCCGAGTAACCAAAGATGTGTGGGTCCTTGCGTTATCATGATAGAAAACCACGCCCTTCCGATTTGATAATGCCGGCCGCTTATCTCCAATTGCATCCTTCAGTTTTTCGAGTTGTTCAACATACACATTTGAATTTATCGTTTGGTTCTGCGGCATGAGTTCAAAATACGAAATTCCTTTGTGATCCCCCCCACCGGACTGACAGCATAATCTTTTTTTGGTGAATCTCTGCTGCTTTTGATACTGTTTGGGCTGGTTGATCTTGCTTCACCCATGATCTCTTGCGAGTAACATTGTTATAAACTATCCACTTTTCGTCGCCAGTAACTGGGTTCTTCAGAAATGGATCATTCTCATTGCGTTTCAGTAGCGGCGAATCACAGATGCTAATCCGTTGCGTCAAATGAATTTCCTTTAACTGGTGAGGGATCCGTAAATCAAGTTTCTTGACATAACCAAGGGTTTTTAATATTTTTCAATGCATGTATGCGACACATTGAGCTTCTCTGCAATATCTCGTGTTGTGCTGTGACGATTTGAATCGATAATGGCCTTGATATGGGTTTCATCCACTTCGACTGGGCGGCCAGATCGTTGTGAATTTTTCAGTGAAAGATCACCGGAACGAAATCTTTCAAACCAATTTCGACACTGCCTTTCTTTTAAGGCTTCATCTCCATATACGGCACATAACTTCTTTTGTGCTTGCGATGCGTTCTTGCCTTTTCGGAAGTAATACAATAAAATGTGTGGGAAGTGCACGTCCTGTTCTTTCATTTTTAAATTGGGATAAAAACAAAACTAAAGAACTAAACAAAAAAATTTTTACTAATTAACCTAGAAGCCCATACAGTAAGAAAAAAATATAGGTTAGATGCTCTGGCCACGTTAACAAAACAAAAGAAAGTATAGAGTGAATCTGTCAACAAAAACGGCAATGACTTAGTTGCCAACCCAACAAATTACAATTCTTGTGCGACCTGTTGGCTTCTATACCAACACATTTGTGTTTTGCTGATCATTTCAGTGTCCACTGCTGACTATCATAATATTTCTTATTCCGAATTTATCATTGGTGGAGATCTAATCTGTAGTACTACTTTATACTCACGCCTTCTTTCACGCCCGTTCCAAATAATGATTGCATTCATGAGTTAACTTTTTATCCATTTGATTGTTATGTGCTACGTGTTCTGGATGTTTTACTGTTTAAATATATGTGAACGTTAGTTCTCGTCAATTATTATTACGTTTTTAATGTCTGACATTTGATTGGTTGTAGCCTTCAATTCGACCCAGCCCCACGACGTGGAGAGCCGCACGTATCCCGTCGCACACCGGACTACTTCCTCTGAGTCATCAACTCCATCGGTCATCGCGCCATGGCAACGTCACCAACTGTCCAGCCAGTCAGCACACACCGTTTCTCACTTCCCATCTCTCTCTATGCTTCTTGCACACACACTTCTCTGGCCTTTTTTAGCAGCTGTTTAAAAGGCCTTTCCTGTCCTTTGTTTAATGCCGTTGATTCCACTTGCCTGCGAAAACTTCCTCGCCTTTATCGCGTCTTTAAATTTCTCTTGCGGTTTGTGTGCAGATTTACCGACCAACTTGTTCTGCTGGCTGTTTGCTGTTTTCACTTTTATGCGGTCGCGTTGGCTCGACGTGTGACTGAATGCGTGTTTGCGTCTCCCTACTTCTGACCTCTTTGTTGTCCCCCCCCCCCCTCCCTTTGCCCTCGCTGCAGTGTGGTTATTAAATGAAGTGGAACTAAATTAAAACAAGTAAAAAGAGATTCACTGTGCTCTGTCGTAGATTAACTGTTCGTATTACACGCAGATTAAATGTATGTCGACATCTCTTACACTAGCCGGCTAGATCGAAATGTGGCATGGTGTCTCTACATATGTGAAGTTTTTCAATGCTGTTTGATTCATGATTTTGTAGACCCGGATCTTCGGTACAATATGGTAAGGTAGAAGTTGTGTGTGGCGTATGTCTTGGTTAATAGTCTTGATGCATTAGTTATACCTTAATTGAAAAGCTTCTCGCTAAATCTGATTTGTATTTGCTTTTAGATTGTTCATTGTTGTGGTTAATATTAGTAAGCGAGATGGCTCAGGAATTGACCTTTTATTGTTTAAACTGTTTTACAATCAGCGATAAATTCTAAAGCCTAATTGTACCATGTATTTAGATTTGGTATTAGTACCATTTAAGTAAAATACGTAGGGCAGATCATTCTTAAAGTACATTGAATCTAGTTGTGATTACACCTAAAGTATTTGGCCTGCTTTAAACAGATTTTGGTAAATTAAGTTTAATATTTTTTAAATTCAATGTCTATAAATAAGAATTACTATTTCATATTGGGGAAAATGTGCAATTGGGATGACTGGTCAGCGTTAGGCCAAGTGGGTTATTGGCGGAGGTAGGCGACTTCAAGTTTGGGTTGCAAATCAATGAGGTCTAACGCACATAATGCGGACAAAACACGCGTTTAGTATAAACGGATGCAGAGAGAAGGAAATCGTTCCGATGATCATGTTCTGTGATACCACAGTAACCTTTAGCTAATCCTATCGGATCCCGTTTCATAAAATACCGACTCCCTACAGTTTCGAATATTGAAAATGAGGAAGCAAAATATCAATAAGTAGTTTTTATTTTATTGCATCTTCTTGGCTAAAAAGTATCAATTCTGTCTCTCCTACTGTGGCATTTTCTCACATGTCAAGGTCTTCTAATGGGTTTCTTACAGAGCCTTGTTCGCCGGTTTTTTTGGAATTCAAGAGCGCCTTTATAGTTGTCATTGTTTCCATCGTGGACTAAAGAGAATAATGTGTGATGGGTGTGAATTAAAGCAAATAATGGGAGAGTTAATTATTAAGCAATCTAAGAGGGAAATCTGCGATGTGGCAGGGCTATGATTTACCTGGTCTAAGTCCTTCTTCCCAAAGATATTCCACAGTAATTCATCCTTTTGACTAGTTACCGCTTCCTCTGTTGGTCCTGAATTATTCAGTGTGGATAATAGCTTCTCATCCTCGAGCAAAATCTCTTCTAAATTTGTAGGACTGTCTCCATTATTTGGTAGCGATTCATGTTGCAATATCATTCGTTCCATCTGAGCTTGGAGGTTAGTAACTTCGGCTAGTGTCGTATCTATGGTGATTTCATCAATGAGCCTAATTTAGAAATAATGTTTGAATAACCTCCCTTTTAGCTATACTAACAATAAGCAAATTAGCAGTTTCTGTTACTCACGTAGGAATTTTCGTAGATGAAGCGGACTCTGTTTGATGTAAATAATTGAGAGATCATTTAATTTTAGATAAAACAAGTACAATCGTTGTTCAACGTATTAACATATTAACAAAACAGAATTAGAAAGGGAAGTAAGCCTACCAATTGTTTCATCCTCACACTGCAATATAATAAGAAGTGGTAGTGTGTAAAAGTTCATTTATCATAAAAAGTACTTTTTCGATTTATATTTGTCAAAGACTGTCCTTAGCTCTATGTGGATTACCATCCATTTTAAGGAACACGACTTGGCTAAGTTAGACATATTCAGGCTGAGCTCTTAGTTATATATCTCTCGCTCTCTCTCTAAATTTGCTGACGATAATAGTAAGTGGATTAGTCTTATCGCAAACGTTAATGTTGCGTAAGTTATACTACTGCCCTTCTCTTCTGTCTGCTCATGGCTATGAAAAAAAATTAAACTGAATCAAAGTGACATGATCAACAGATAAATCAACCGGCCGACAAGGCCCTGAATATGATGGGCAACACCCCTTGAATGAATCTGGACGAGTCAATCTAGGAAGCATTTACAGCAGGACATTGCAAAGTAGACCATATTCCATTTGGGAATATAAACAACTCCAGGTTTGCCTTGTTCGAGCAAAGTATAATTCTCGAAGCTCTGACCCCTTTACCTGCATCTTTTTTGAACCTTAAGCCATCATTATTAGCAGTAATTGAAGCTCTTGTTGAGAGTCACTTTTGGATGCTTTCACAGAATCAAAACTTACAATCTTTTTTCCCAGTGTACCACGGAAAATAATGTTAATACAACTATTCAGAAAAGAAAGACTAAATTTCTTTCGGTATTCAAACATAACAAACATATCCAAATGTTTTAGAACCATCTCTCGATTCAATAATGGCATTTAAGACAGATCATATCTGTTTATAACATTCAACGCTATATAATAGGTTTAGTGCCTTGACCTAAAAAAATACAGACGGACCGATAATGCGGGGTTTAACCTTTTAGCAAGACACGTTGACGTCTCTAAATAGTCCTCTATTCCTCTCCTCTCCCCCCCCCCCCCCCCCCCCCCCCCCCACCCTCCCTCCTCATTTCCTGTCTTAGTTATCTGCCCTTAACTAGTGGAAGAAACAAATAAATCGAGACGACGGAATTAGCCACGAATTCAAATCTCAACCGACAAGCACAATCTCGCCCCGGAGGAGGAGTGAATATTAGGACATCACGAGATGAATATTTTCTCTTTTGGGAATATGGACAATTTAAGACTTATGACTTTAAGTAATGCGTGACTATTTCCTATTGAACCCCTCCTCTGTCGCTAAATTTAACGACCTCATTCTCTGTAGCCCTTATTTTCGAAGAGTTTAATTATAAAATTTGTTTTAAATTACAATCCAAAAAATCAATAACATTGTGATTAGCATAAGAAGACCACATGCATATAATAATAATAATAATGATAACATGCTTTTTAACATAATTGGTTCAGGAATTTCTATTATACTAGCAAAGACTGAGATTTCAGAGGCTCTTATTTACCCGTTTACCGCCAGTGAGGAGACGAGATCTAGGTCTATGCTTTAACAACCCAAGATAATAGGCTGGAAGACCTTTGTCTCATATATAATTGAAATTTTTCGGAATACAAGAGCTGAAAAACATCTAAAGATAAATATTTTTCTCTCGTTAATTGCCCAAAACTCAGAAGCAAACTAAACTGATAATTTAACATTTCTATATTAGAGCAAATCCAAAGGTTTCAGAGCAGAAACGACAAAATACAAAACAAGTAGGCTATCGATATATTACTTTAACATACTTTTGGCCATGCACGTGTAGAAGACCCATCATAAGGCTGTATTAAGAACAGGAAACTTCGCAATGACTTACATCAATATTTTCACCATAATCTTCAATTTCTTTGTCATCAACGGTCACGTCGCCTTCCTTAGAAGACTCAGACTGTGTTGTTAGCTCTTGTTCAGAGTTTTCTCCGGCATTCCCGCCATCTGATTCGGTTGGACTCGAATTCTAAGCAAATTATAGAAACGAATATCTCAAAGCTTTTTGCACAATGAGCATCCAACGTTTTCCTTACTCTATCAAAGGATGACTCGAGACTTTGGCTTCGTCGATCGTTCTTACTATCCATTGACGTGGAAAATTCAGTGCGCTCCAATTTCTCATTATCTCCTAAATCGTCGTTACCATTCGGAGATGTAAAATGATCAGTATCCATTGTTGCCATCATGTTAGAATTTGTGCATGTTGCATCTTGTGATTTACTTTGACTCCTTTCTGAAAGCTTATTGGATCTCGATTTGCGTGTGGGTGGTGATTGGCTGCGGTTTGCTCGACGGTAACTGGTTGTAACGGAATTGATGGCCTATTGAGCAAGTAAATGCGGGTTGGTTTAATGAATTTTACATTAACCAATAGGCTCAAAGTGCTCTCGTAATTACCTCATCTATATAGCGATTTGTTTCTCGTAGAAGATTCATCTCTGTATTTTTCATTAGTTCGGCCTTTGGTATTCGCTGAGTGTAGATATTCTGTAATTCAAGCAATTTAGTTTTCTCCTATAGCATAAAACCATTGTTTCATCATCAACTTCTTGCTATACTTAACTATTCCAAATTTCACAAAAATATGCCTTGATCTCACTACATCACTAATACCCATGTGTCCATAAACGTTATTTCCATTATACTTACTTAATACCATTCGATATTCAGCATTTCACATAGAAACTCTTAAGCTATGGTGTAATTTATTTATTTGTTGGAGTTTACCTGTAGATTTCTTTCAGTCTTTTCCAGTTTGGTCTGAAGGTCGGTACAACTTTTGCGCAACTTTCGAATCTGTTCGTTGGCTAAGTTTTGTTCAGTTCTGAGCTTCCGCTCCATCGCGTCTACTTTTCTCTGCAAATCCTGGAAGAATAAACAAAGAACTTACTCAAGGTTATGAATTTCTTCTAGTGGAACTCATTTTGACCGCCCTCACAGATGTAACCTCGGGTAGCTTCTAAAAAAGTCTATATTCATCTCCAAGCGATAAATGGAATTAAGATGTTGCGAGGTACGAATCGAGCTCTCATCAGATAACTTTTGTGCTCACATCGCTAAGTTGATAAGTATCAAGATTTAAAATTCAGATAATATTCGATCAGAGGTTTGACGGAGTTCACTATCTTAACGTTAACTTGCCTGAGTCCTAAACTTAAGACTGAACAATAAAAACTCAAAAGAGAAAAGGATTATCCATGCAAGAATTCGATACAAATTGAATTAGTGACAATTTGGTGACTTCGACTTTCCGTTTGCCTAGCTGTTGCATTAAATGACCTTCATATTTTACTGAAGCTTGGTCAGATGTTGTAGCAAACAGGATAGGTGTATCTCTTGGCTAATATGAGAAAGAAATGCTAGAAGCCAGGTTAGAAAACTCACCTTCGATTTTCGCCTCTCAATTTCCAGTTCATTTTTGAGTACTTCATTAGCCTTAGTTTGCTTTCTAGCTAACTTGCGAAAATTTTCAGAATCTCCTGGTGCATCACCAACTTCTCGCCTTTCACGAAGGCGCATTTCAGCATCAGTAGCTCTTTTTTCTGCTACTGCGGTGGCTTCACGTTGGCGATTTAAATGAAATTGAAGGGCACGAATCTCGTCATTCAATCTATTGATGAGTTCGGGCCTTTCTGATTCCTTGCCGACTGCCTGAAAAAAAGGACGCATGTAAGGTGCTCCACATTGACAATCGAATAGTGATAAGTTTTGCATTCTTTCCCACTCTTATTTTGTACCTATCACGATTATTTTTTTCTAATAAATCGTCAGAATCTAACCAGACTATTCATCTTGGTATGTGAAGATCAGGGATTTCTTGAACACGAAAGAGGAAGGTCTCCTAGATAACCTTACTATTTTGTTGCCTATCTCATGGCCAGTTTAATCACTGGAATTAACTATTAAGATCACTATATGTACCAAGTGCGTATGGACCGTAGAGCTCTGATGTAATGAATGTGCACTATAGCATTTATTACTGTATTTAGACTTTTTTGCTCCAATTAAGCAGTCGAGGCTCTCTACTTTAGTTGCATCAATTAAACAAATGAATAAATTACGGTTGATAGAAGTGAATATATGTACTGCTATTCGTGCAGCTTAGACTTAAGTAAAGTGCATTTAATTGAATACTTAAACTAATATATTTTTAACTGCCTTAGATACGCATTAGAACTATTCCTATTTAATTGCTAGTTCAATCATTTTCTCTTCAATTATCGCTTCCGCTTCATAGTACAATTTACAAATTCATAATTTTGACGGGAATTTGCTTAACTCTCTCTCTTTGCTATTTGAAATCGTCCTAAACCAAGGCCTATCGATTGGTACTTGTAGAACTTGCGCAATCTTATCCATAATTCGTCTCCACCCTAGCTAGTCTCACCATACAATTCCTCAACCACACAGACAACTAAGGCATAAAATGCAGTTCTCTAACCTTCTTCACTTGTCCGGTGTCAAAATAGTTCATCGCAACTTTCAGGATTAAAAAGTAGCTTGGCTGGATTTAGCACCAATTTACATTCCTTTATTTTGTTTTAAAATGCAAACCGATTCATCTTCAACGTCATTTATTGTAGAAAATAAAATACAAAGTCAGACACACCCACCCCCCTCCCCCCACCCTTCTTAATTGCCATTATGGTCTTAGGAAGTAAGTAAACGGAGAGTTAGTGCTCATATGAAAAATGCGTTAGTGGCATAGTACTTTAATTCATAAAGATATCCAAAATTGTATGCAGTTCTCTAACCCATTAATTGAGACAAAGAATGTTGGAATTCTCACCTTCGTGAGTCTGGCATTTTGCACTTTGCATTGTCTTTGCACAGTCTTTAACTCTCCTTGACATTCTTTGAGTTGACTCTTCAAATAGTGGTTTTCACTTCTCAATGAAGCTATTAGGTTCTGATTAACTTCCCAAGTATCACCTAAACCTAACTCAGATGACAAAGCCGGTTGAAACTTTCTTTGGCGCTCTCGTATCTGCTGACGATTTTTGAGAAATCCAGCAACATAGCCATGTGATTTAGGATACGGGTCGGGATTTTGACGGTGGATCTTTTTTTGCGCTCGAAATGGTTCTGTTAAAGCAGGGAGTCGATATAAGGTGCAATGAGAATTTGGTGAACCTAAAAAAGCCATTACACAGGTAAATTAAAATACTGTAAAAGAGGAACGAACTAAATGAAAACACGGTTCAATTAAAATCGTGGTGAAGACGATCGAAAAGAAGTCAATCAGCAGATTATCACCTCTGTACACTTAATCCAAATTTATTTATATCAAATGGCAGGCGTTTTAATGGTTATCATTAGCCCTTTAGTTGACTTCAGGCTTCAGAGAGAGGAGGAGGAACATCGAAGGGAAAAAAGTCGAGAGGGGGGGAAGAGAAGAGTGTTTCAAAGATGTAAAAGAGACAGACACAAAGGTAGAAAAAAGATGAGGTGATTACTCTGGAAGTAGTCAAATATGACATATTGTGGGGTGATGGTAGATTGAAGACAGAAGTCAACTGCCGGTTAATAGACTTTTTGCCGTATGAGAATACGTTGCCCAGGGTGCACCACGTGGAGGTAAGTCTATCGCACACCCCCACTTAATCAAAATAGTTTGACTTCATGAGAAATTTCAATTATGCTACCTACGCAGGCGATTTGAACCTTTTATTTATCAAATAAAAGTTTAATCAGCTTTACAGTGGTCATGATACATATTAAATTTTCAAAAATATTAATAGTTTAAGACCGTAGATAACTCAAAATAACTTTATTACTTAGGGAAGATCAATTTAATATTTGCATTTTAAAAATCTGTAACACGCATCTCTGCTGAGAATGCTAGGCCTGGATCCATTCATATTGGACATTCTCGCTTTCTCTTAACAATATTAACGAATGCCTACATGAACATTGAGGCTACAAGTGGAGTAAGTCTAAAAGGAACTAAATTTGACTACGCGTGTATATTGCAATAACCTTGCCAATGAATTGAAAATAATGCAAGACATATTAAGAAGATGTGCTACATAGAATGTGTAAGTTCGTATCATACTGCTTCAAAGGCTTTTAAGCGCTAAAATTTGAAAACGGGCTTGAAACTGTCAATCAATGTAAGATTTGGAGTACTTGGAAGATCCCGTAAAATTTGGTGATTCTCAAAAGCAATAAAGTTTTAACTAACTTAAACCTATATTGACTGAAATTACTTATTATGAAAACGACAAGAAGTGTTTGCAATACTTAGCGTTTATGAACTTACAGGGGCTAGTATCGGATTCAAATGCATCATGAGAAGGTGCCTCTTCGTTCTCCATCTGTTTAGAATCCCACAGTTGTTAACTTTGTGACGTAAATGGTTCAGACATTTTGGATTAACGATTTATTTAACAATATGTTAGGAATTTATCTAACACCAACAAAATATTTCGAAAAAAGAGTAACGATTGAAAACACAAATTCCATTAACAATACACTAAAATACGAACATTTTCAAAACTATTTCAATATTTAAAATACTGAATTTCTTAACATCTTCAAAATAATAGAAAAAATTAGATATCAGAAAACGCGAAATTACGAACTATCGCGCATGCAATAAGTGGGCGGATAAGGGGTTTAGGACATCGTATCAATGTTCTTCAAAGCTCAATATATCTCGCTAAAAAACATTATAAGAAACTATCGTGAAGAGTTTTCAAATATATAGGGGATCTTTTAATAGTTAGGAATAACAATATTCAATTAAGGTTGGAACTAGCAATAACTAGTATTTACAAAATTGCCCATTTTTCTGACCCAAATCATTATCCCAATGATAATTGATTTATTATTTAAAGATATCATTTTCCGACCATATTAAAACCTCTAGTAGAAATCTGTCACATACTATCTCTCCTATTTTGAATGGGGGTATTTTATAGTTCAGCTCAGTTTAGCTTACTTTTAAAAAAGTGATTTCTTTAGAATCCATTCAACTTTTCATTAATTATTTTCGGTTCGCAATATGCGAAAATATGTAATTCAAAGAAATAACTATGAAACGGTTGAAACTCCTGAATATATAATTGATATGGATTTTTATCGACTTTGAAAATAATTACTAATATACCAGTCTTGAGATTATGCAACTGACTTAGGCATTATACGTATTCAGGTACTTCTTACACTAAATATCCCTTAAATGTAATTAAACTGGCGTTTCATTTTTTACTCAACATAAAATTTCAAAGCCTTTTGGTGCTGGATTTGTAAGAATTATTCTGTAAATCATATATCATTTTGCAGTCTTTATTTCATATTCAAGGTCTCATCAATCCGTCCTCAAAACTAACTTTATTCAGTGTCTGTGTCTAATTGTTCATTCAGTGACACAGCACCCTTCACTTCTTTATGATAATAATAAAAAAATGCCCATAAGTTCAATTGTGAAAAAGAAATGTATATTTAGAAATGTTGGAAAAAAATAATAAGCTTCCAATCAATAAATATAACCACATCTTAGGCACTGTCTTCATAACATCATATGCATAAAATCAGAGTTCGGAGAAAGTTTCCTCAACCCACTTGTCGATCACCAGCTTCAACCCTGGACTTCTAAAACAATGAAAAAGATATAATTGAACCTTAAAAAAGTGCTGTAGATAATCTTTTAACATTCAGCAATAACTCAATAATAGATTAACTACGTACATATTTCAATGATCAAATAGATATGTTTAGAGATTGTCATGGATTTAACCGGAATGAAGAATATAGGAGAGTGGGCTCAATACTCATTCAGTGAATAGCTAAGGCACTGTAAGAATTGAATAATATGGGTATACCACCAGTGATTCCTCGTTTTCACACTAATAAGGGCACAAAAATGCTCGATCCAATGATAATTGATAATTATAAAAGCAATTATAATTTAGCGAGTCAATTAAAGTTACTAACAAAAGAGGCATCACATTCTACTCCAACAGGTTAATGAAATTTTGGCAT